AAGTTGAACCAATTTTTACTTAATTTTTGCCATATCTACTGTAGGTAGTTATTTGTGTTATTATACCAGTACATTCACAAGAAAAGGATTTAATATTAATGAGTTCATAGAAACTGGCTATCATCATATTATTCTCCTATAGACAATTGAAGCAACTCAATCGAAACGTTGAGATATTCTCAACCAACAACAACAGTTCTTTTCAGAACTATCTATGTGGTGTAGCGCAAGCATTAATAATATTTAATATTATTACTTTGCCATGCAAACCTTCAAAAAATATTTCTTTATAATCAAAGACGTGAGGAATAAATGATGCATTAGGTGAAAATTTAATTCCAGAATCACCTTTAAGCACTATATCCATTAGCTCTGGAAACAATATTTAAGCTCAATTAAAGAGAGTAGACTGTGATGAGCATAAATACACCATTAAGGTATCAAGGACTACATTACTAAAATCAATACAAGATATAAACACATCAGCATCATCAACATCCATTACTGTTATGTTGACATCATCAGCAGCCATATTAAACTACAGTGATGTCATTGTGTACACGATAAATTTATCAATCAGTATTTTCATTACTATCTTAAAGGTAGGCCTATATACTGCTAATGTTGATCGAATACACTTTAACAACATTCACTTGACTTAATTTGTATATGTAAGAGATTAGCTTTCAACTACTGTGAATTGTTTTTAACAAATTTAATTGTAAATAATATTTATATTTAAAAATTCAATCCAGGATACTGCTATATTCTTATCTTCATCGTAAATAAATTTGTACATAAATTATATAATTGGTAGGCCTTGTTAATTTACTATTTATTCATTTTATATTATCTTATTGAATTTATTTTTTAAGGTTGTTTGTTTATTATTTTTATTTTTTTAGTTTTTATTAATTTTTTTTTTTAGGATTTTCTTTTGTTTTTCTCGTCTTGTGCTATCCCTTATTAATCACTATGAATTTTTGTTAACTTCAGTTTCACACTTTACTGTATGCAAATTGTAATAAAGGTGGTCATAATTGTATTCGCATTCAACTGAATATAGAATAGAATACCGTAAATGAAATATATTTTTTAATTAAAATCTGTACTGTACTGTATAATTTGTACTAATACTATGTAGCTTCTAATTACTAATTCTATAGTAAATTGTCACATAGCCTTTTAAGTGCTTAAAAAATAAGAACAAAATAAGAAAAAATTGAAGCTTAAGTGAATTATCAAATTAGGTTTTTATTAAAAAAGACCCTAGAAAAACCAATGAAAAAAAAACCCCAGTAAAATTCTTTTGACCTTATCTGTAGTAGGTAGAACTATACCCTTATACAGTATAATAATATACTGCTATACAACAATTTTATATATTTGAATATTATATATAAAAACACTGAGCATGGGCAAAATTTTGTAGGTTCTTAATAAAAAGAAAAAGTGTAGTTTCTGATTATTACAGTATGTTTCCTCCTAATAAACATTTTGTTGCAAACTACCACTTGAACTTTGTCAGTAAACGTCATTAAAAATACAGAAGAATCCCTATCAAGGGGACACCTTCAGGACCAAAAAAAATGTCCCCTTAATAGGGGTGCCCCCTGAATAGGGGGTTAACCATAGTGGTAAAAGATAGATTTCTCTCACTTCTTGGCCAAAAAAAATGTGTCCCCTTAAACCTTCTACTGTATGCAACTTTGAGCATTTACATTTATAACACAGGTTTTACTGTCAGTGATTGTAAATGGGTTCAACTTCAACTTTAATTTATTTAACTTGGTTCAAACATACAATTCAACAGTACTGTATAACTATTATAGGAAAAACCAAGTAGCGAGACCAACAAAAAGTGAGTAAACTTCGTAAACGTTGGTCCCGTGGAGAAGAACCCTCAACAATACCCACTTAACTACAAATTACCATAAAATCATTATAAACAAAAGCATTTATAGTGAACTGTAGAAAATAATTTTTACATGAGACCTTAAATGAAGAAGAACTACATCTAGTAACTGAATCTGGCAATCCGTTCCACATTTCGGGACCATAATAAATAATGGTTTTCTGCCTTAAAGAGAGCCTGGTAAAGGGTGTGTGAAATTTATGAGCATGCCTTGTGTTGTATTTGTGGACTTCGCTATTTTTCTTAAAGAGTTGGGAAATGCTTATCGGTAGATTTTGGTTAACAAGGTTCAACATAAGATCATCTGCATATTTTTGGTCCAGTGTGAACAAACTTTTCCTCCTGTGTCAAATCAGGATTTTTCTTGGCTTGGCAGTGTAAAAGGGCATTAGAATCTCATATCTTTAATGAAGGCTACTGTCAAAATAGTTTAAGAATAACAAACATTTTACAGAGTATCACAATGCAAAGTATCGTACCTGACAGGTGCATTGTAAGTGTATTGTTCATGGCATTAGGTACTTTGTATTGATCAGGCAGTTTATATACTTGTTACAACAAAGTCAATAGGTTAAAGAACCTATAGGATTATCATTAAGAGTGATTGAGACACGGCCATGATATTTCTAGGATTGTGTAGTGTAAAGTGCAGTATTACTAAATACAACAAAAATCTGATTGGATATTGGTTCTGCACATCGATTTCTGGTCAGAGGACATTGGGAAAGAATATCAACACAGGAACATCGCAATTAAAGGGTATATTAATCAGGATTTCTGTAATTAACCTCTATATCTGCAGATTTGGGATTAACAACAGATTGGATGAGAAATTTGTATACATCCAATATAAAGCAACATGACATCTTTTAAAAATGACAGTGATTCAACTGTAGACTATCTACACATCAAATTGTCTTACACTGATTCTCTCATGACATCATAATTTTGATGCCTATATGCCTAGTGATAGATAGATATTTATTGCATAGCACTTTTGAAACAGCGGCACACGTTGAATAATACCTAAAGGCTGTAGTGTTGTTAAACAGCCAACCAATCACAGTACTCTATTTCTGTTATTTAGTTATTTCTATAGCAACTATTTTGCAGTTTACACAGAACTAGCGCTCAACATAACCTCAAAAACTTGGAAAATAATAGGCACTAGCCAACACAAGCAGATAAGAAATACAAGTACTGTACAGCAATAAAGCAGTCATGAAAAAAATCCACAAAATAACTAAATAAAAGACAATATGAGAAGGGGAAAAAAAACGAGACAAAAGAGGGACATAAATTTAAGCTGTAACACTGTAAGTGAAAAGCGACTTTCTGTAGCATGTTGATGAAATTAAGGAAAATTTATCGTATTAATGGAAGTTGGAGACGGCACAGGCGGCAGTTACAGCTGGTGTTTTAAGTTAAGTACATGAAGTAGGTTAATATAATAATAATAGAATGTAATTTGAAAGCACTGTGTGCATGCAGGCTTATGCACTGAATGTACAGTAGACTACCAAAAAAGCTTTTCGATCTAGAGTATGTTTACCAACCAGAAAAACACTTCGGATTATACAACTGACTATTACCATGGCAACCATTAATTCACTAAATTAAGCTTTCAATATTGGTAAAAAGTTCACAAGTGAACAAGAACAAAGAAAGCAATTATGATACAAAGACAGCTAACATTTCATCTAAATGCCACAAAATCTAATTTCATTGAAGTTATTAGGACGGTCTATTAAATTTTCCTAAAAGAACAATGGAGTAATAAATAAGATAAACACAATTGGCAATGTGGCTAGGTTATCAGTTCTCTCATATTCACATTTTTTTTAACATTCAGCAGCTATATAGTAATTAAGCTAAAATACAATAGTTTCATCTGAAAAGTACAGTATATTATTGGTTTACTTACAAGAATTTTTCTATGTTAATAATATTAATTAATATAGTAATTGTTAAACACAAGACTTTTTTTAAACCTTGTTAAGCGAACACTCCGCTAGCCAATAAAGATGATTTCAAATAAAAATAAAATTTATTATGGGCCAGTTAACCAAGAAAAATGGAAATTTCAGAAAAAAATAATTTTTATTATTTATTTCTATTACGCTCGTCGCTGCCTTGACATCTCCTAAAAAAAAGATGTACAAATTCTTCTTTAATTATATAAATATAAAGCATTTATCAATCAAATTAACCAATAAAATTGTATATATTTTGTCCTCCACCTGGATGTTATTGGTTAAACTATTTGCAATAGAAGAAATTAATTTTTATTTTTTTTCCGCCCACTTCTGATGATCATTAAAAAAGTTTGCTAACAAGGTAAAAGAAGTTTCGCTACGACCATGGCAGCCAGCAAAAAGAAGAGAATTTTTTTCAAATTTTTCTCTCTAGCTTTGCTCAATTACTGCAGATTGGAATTTTTTATGAATCAACATAATTCTGATGAGAAAATTCAGCTTCTGAGCTTCTAAATCAGTTATTAACTTTAAATTAGGAACAAGTCAAAATTTTATGACAAAATCTTCAATTGATAACCAGCCAATTTAAGTCGACTACAGTATGCAAATGATTACACAAGGAAGGCATTTTCTGTCCTTCAAATGAATGGGGAATGTTTTCTCATTCAAATATTTAATTGTAAGTTTTTTACTTACTTTTAAACACAAGATAAAAACTTTTTTTTTTTCATTTTCTTCCCGCCCTCCTCTGATGATTGTTAAAAAAGTTTGCTAAACAAGGTATAATAAAAAAAGTGTCGTCTAAGACTATTTAAGTCCCTCACGAACAGTGTTGTCACTCTGCTCATCTGGTAATAACATCCACAATGTATATATTGAAATATGAATGAAATATATTTAAGAAAATATAATATTTTAATATATTATTAAGGTATCCAGTACAGTTTATCATTGGGGAACCCAACAACTTATAAAATGAAACCTAGGCTCTAGTTTGAATGAATTTCTATAGTTAAAAACCATGTTCACAATAAACATATCTGCTTTAAACTGGAAATCTCAACAAAAACCCCCTTCAGTAGAACACAATTAATGTGGGGAAATAAAATGTTGATGAACATTAAAAACCCTTAAAATGGTATTATTAGAGGATTGGCCTTACATTTAGCTCTATTTTTAGCTAATTAGATGCATAGAGACCATACAAAAATCATCCAAAAAATCTTGGGGGGTTGTCTTATACGGGGATTGCCTTATACATGAGAATATAAGGTATTATTAATTAAGCAAGGTATACAAAAGTATCGCCTTACAGTCCCTTGAAAAATAATGTTTAAACCTGAAAACAAATTTGTAGAAGTGCAAAATACCCAGATATTATTGCAAGTGTGTGAGTCACTTCGATTTACAGACCACTTATGGTGCTGCACTGCTTATTATGTCTTAAATGTTGCTCATTCTTACAAAGGTAAGATTGCCAAGTAATTGGAAAGTAACTTGAGATACTGGAATGATGAATGGGATAAAAAATAAAATGAAATGTTTGTAACATTTACACACATACACCTTTAATCAGGTTATTCTGAATCACAAAGATCCCAAGTACAGCATCAGATTTTATTAAGAAATTTCAAAGGAGAAAATCATTACAACACAAGCATTTGCAGAAAGAGGTCTAAAAATAAATACAGTAATTCTAAGAATGATAATTATAACATCATACGAATAATTGGTACATTGAATTGTTTCTGCATCAATACGGCAAGGTAGAAATCCAATCATTTACAACACCGACAAATATACCAAACACACAGGATGCACACATAATAATGTTAAAGATATTAACATAATTTGTTTGACTCTGCATCAAACAAAGTATACATCAGGAGTGTGCATTTTCCTTCCCGTTGGTTTTTCGTAGTTTATGCCATTTTTGGCTGTCGTCTCACTTCAATACCTCAACAGCTTGTTTGATATTTTATTTTAATTTTTTTTCTGTTTTTCAATATGATACTGTCAGTGCCTTAAGGCGATTCTATAGTGGAAGGAATGATTGAACTGTGATTCTCATTATCTAATTAGGCAAAATAATTGTGTGTTAAAACAGAGTTGTCCAATGACACTAAGGGTGTGTTCGGGCGAGTTTTTTGTGGAGTCTAACACGGTATCAATCCGGAAACGGCCACTGCTCGCCCAAACAGGTGTTAAACGCGGACCGCCTGCTGATATTCGCTGATAATCCAATGCTGCAAATTGCAGTGTTTTGGAGGAGCGAAAGAAGCATGCTTTAACAGAAGGGAGCATTCTTTATTACTTAATTATTTTTAGATTGCTCTTTGTTTTAAAACGTGCTAGAAGTAAAGTCTGTAAAAATGTTCATGGTCCCTGCTTCTTTCTAGCCTAGCATCCAGATTGTTACCTGATTACATACGTCCGCTGCATGCATACATGATCATGGTACCACTGCTTATTTGTTTAACAATAGTAATTTTCTGTTTTTAAACTACCATTGCCAAACGAATGAAAGTTTATTCCTGGTTTATACGCCCAAAATGCACACCTGCGATTTATTGGGAGTTTGCAATATCATTTATGAAGCTTATTGTTGTAGCTTCTTTGGTCAATTCATTACTTGATTTTGAGACAACATAAGTAGTGTACCAATGCCAATGTCCGTTTCTTAGTTAAAGCGTGTGGTGATGCAAGAGTCCAGGGAAACTCATCTTTTGCATAATACCGGTCTTACGTCAGAGGTTAATAGTTTTTGAAAGCCACGTTATGCACAAACTGGCAGACCACCCGCGGATACAATACTGGTAAGAACCCTATGGCTACGGTCACACTAGAGTTTCAAGCCTGGCTTGACTCACCGAGGGTGAGATTTTCGTAATGTGACCGCATCTGCACCGACTCGCGCCTGGCGTGACCTCGATCTCAATCTACCTATCTCGATCCCGGCTCAGCACCCATATTGACCATGGATTGACCCTGGCGTGACCGAGATTGACATTTCCTCGTCGGCTGTCGACCAATCACAGTCGATGACGCTGTTGCGT